CTCGACGAGCCCAGCTCAGCATTACTCAACCATCACTACAAAACGGTTCTTTTCAGGGTCACCAAAAATTTGTTAAAGAGTATTATTTGGACATTTTTCAAGGTCATCAGTTCCCGCCAGGCATGGAAAATCATTTGCATTCATTTCGTGCATTCATCTACATTCATTTGCCTCTAACTTTTTTCTTCAACAGCATTCCGCAAAATAGTGTACAGAGTTTTTGTAGTTTTTGTCATTAGCTACAACTTTTGTTCACAAGTCAAATCCGTATCTCTTATGTATGACGTTTCAGAGCGAACAGACCACTACTGTTTTTCAGTGAATGTATTTTACATTCACTGAAAAACAGTAACAAGTTCTGCCCTCTCTAATTCGTGATGCATGAGAGATACAGATTTGAGTTATGAACAAAAGTTGTAGTTGATAACAAAACCTACAAAAGTTCTTTACATCATTTTGCAAAATGCTATTGATGAAAAAAGTTAGAGGCAAATGAATGTAAATGAATGTATGGAATGAATGCAAATGATTTTCCATGCCTGGTTACCGCAAGCAGCTAGCTATCAAGGCTCAACCTGTCTATAGAGGTGCAATTATTTTTTCCTCGGCTTCCATTCCGCACGATTCGTTTCTTTCGTTTAATCAATCACTCTTGTAGTGACGTCAAAAAAATTGTTTCGATCGGCGCTTACATATGAAATTTAATGTGGATTATAGAATTTTTTGTATGTTACCAACATTTATGAATGGTTTGCCACTAAATTTGCGATAATTTATTGATTATTGAATTATCACACTGTATACCATGAAAAAGCAGCCTGTTTGTGAGCTTTTGCCTGTTTTCAAGTAAGGAGTTATCATAAAAAACAAATCGCCAGCTGGTTTTTCCCGGCGACTTTACAAATAAATAAAATCAAACAAAATCATCATGCAGAACTAGCTAGGATTTGTTTTACTTCATATTCCACAAAATTGCTCTCGAGTGTTAAGACATCGTCTCCCGCAAAGTTTACATTTTTCCCTCTACCAACACATAGGGTAGAGCGCTACTTCGTCGTAATCGCCCATTTCCGTTCTATCGATCAGAAAAAATCAATAATATCAATGATTTCACCGTGCACAAACCAATAATAGGTTTGTTCCGATGCGTAAGTTCATTAGCTACAACATGAATCCTATTAGAGCGCATTGTATGAATATTTACGCTCATTGTTCTCAAAACAAAAGAAGCGCTCCTAGCGAATCCCCTTTTTCTACGTTAATCCGTAGGACGAAGAAAATCTAATGGCGTTTCAATGCATTAGGACGGAATTGAAACTCGTAGAACGAATTAAGAATCAAGAAGCAGTATTAGATTTTAAACAATATCTCAACAATTTGTGACTCTTTATCAAATCCAACGGTACGTATGGAAAGGTGAATAAATTTAGAAGTCATCTTTGACAAAAATATTCCATTTTTTGTTTAAACTCGTTCAGAAAAGAGAGGTAAAGTGCGGCTTATGCTTAGTAGGACGAAAATTTGATCAAAAACCCTACATCAGGGCTAGATAGATCTCCACAGGATCTATAGAATTTACGCAATTTCAAAAAACCAAAATGCACAGCATTACGAAAAGAGGTCTGGTTTCGACCAATAGCAGATAGATTTTAATTCTAAACAAGCCAAACGATTGGAAATTTATCTACCAATCTGCTAAAATGAACATTTAGTTAATTTTCAATAGGTCACTATTGAAAAATACCAAATGTCCAACTGTTGCAATGGCGATCAAAATTATCACAGAATGCTGAAAACAGCGCATTCCCTAACACAGACTTAAAAATTGAATTCGATGCGGTCCCACTGAACGGTGCTCATTCAATTACCGTAAGTGGTGGTGTCCAGTCCAGCACCAGCAGTAGTAGCAGCAGCAGCGGCAGCAGCATCACTACAAAACGGTCCTTTTCAGGACCACCATAAATTTGTTAAGAGTATTTGTCAACATGGACATTTGTCAAGGTCATCAGTTCCCACAAGCAGCTAGCTATCAAGGCTCAACCTGGTCTCTATAGAAGGTGTGGAATTGTAGGCCCGAATGTATTGGTGAGATTAATCATCGTCTGACCATTTTCCAGAACACACTGGTAGGAAGTGTTAAAAATCCCTATAGAATTTGAGAGAAGTGGGAATATTTCGCTTTGGTTGTATATTCAGTCCCCAGAAAGCCAATAAAATCAAATTTGTGAGAAAATTAGCTCTCACGAGTTCAATCTCTCTAAGTCCCTCCTTTTTTACATATTATGCACAAACGATACTTTCCGCCCCGCCCCATTCATATAATTCGGAAGGAAATCCTGTGAGGGGTGAACTGAATACACTTTAATACCAAAATGCACAAAACTTAAAAATTCATAAATAACAAAAAATTCAAAATACACCTTTTAAAGTCGGGTAGATTAATCGAAAATGCTCAAGTTGCCAGTCCCTTGGATTCTCTTCATCAACTTTCTCTTTAAAATAAATACTACAAATTTGATACGCTTACAAATAAAAAACGGGAAGAGTTAAGATAATTGATGATTGATCAATTAAAAGAACTAAATATTCACATTTGTTCCGTTCACTAGCGGTCCTACGTCAAGCTTCCGTTCGTGCCCCTAGGCACAGACCCTTCTACTTTTTTTTTCAATGTAAGTCTCTAATGGTTTATTTTTTTGATAATTTGGACAATTTCCTAAAATTCATCCATACAACACATTTTTGTACGAGTTGTCATTTTTCCATAATATTTTTTTTTTTTTTTTGAAAAGTTTGACCCTTCTCAAAGGTTAGTCTAGATACATTTTGGAAAAACTAGGTATATGCAAAGAAGCTTATTTAGTCAAGATCCACACATCCAGAAAGTTTCATTGAAATCTGAGAGGGTGTTGCCAGCTCCGAATACGATTTTGCGCGAAATGCGTCAATAGCTGATGGGGTTACCGAAAACGGGTAGGCTCTACAGCTGGAATTTATTTTGGAAATTACTTTAAAATCAGGGAATATCAGAGAATTTGGTTTCTTCATTGAGTCGACACACTGTTTAATAACTTGAAATTCTACTAACTCAACCATGCCTTGTAGTATGATGAATACATCTTTTAACTCTCTTTTTTTTTTTTAATAATGTGTTTATTTTTCCAGGCTCATTTTGCTGTAGCTTTGCGAAGCCGATATTCATTGCTTAGATTACAAAATTAATTAAAACTAACGTTAGTAAAGCGGGGGCCGATTACTCGCAGCTATCTCCAGGTTAGGGGTAACACATTGTAACAAATGGATGGCAGGGTAGGGATTGAGAACACAAGGTTTGGAGAGCAATGTGCTCTTGATCTCGAACTAAGCGACACTCTGATGAAAAAGACAAACATGAGGGTACACCGATGGGCAGCTAACAACTTGGGAGAACACAAGATGACAGTAACTACTAAATCCTCAGATCTATCCGTTTTAAAAACTCATAAATTAAATTCAAATAGTCGAGATCTCGGCTCGCCAAGAGCTCTCTAACGGGTATCGCGGGTTGTTTTCCTCGGGCCCTGAGGGATGTGGATAACTCAGATCTGGCAACACGGTGCAAGGTACATGACCAAACAACATGCTCGATATCGTGATAACCACTGCCACACGCACATAAATTGCTGCCTGAGAGCCCAATTCGATAGAAGTGCGAGTCTAACGAGCAGTGATTGGACATAAGTCTTTATATAACGTGTATTAAGGCACGGCTCATGTCCAACCCTTTGAACCATGGTTTGTTCGACACCTGTTGGAGAATAGAATGTAACTATCTTCCCAATTCACCATCATTCCATTTTTGTTGCCAACTGATGAGGACTTGCTGACGAGCTATGGAGAAAGATTCGTTGAAGGCGATTTGTCGCTCAAAAATATCGCCTTCCATAGCGCCCACCTTAGCCAACGAGTCCGCTTTCTCATTACCCGCAATTGAGCAATGAGATGGGACCCAGGCTAAGGTGATAGTATGGAAGCAGTTAGATTAAGCACTTAGTTTAGATCGTATTTCAGGCAGGAAATACGAGGAGTGCGTTACTTACATGGTGGTACTTGATTGCAAAAATTGAGGGAACAACCATCGATCGATGGTGATCTGGTATTCCATGGATTTCATGCATCATGGTCAGATCAAAATTTACAGAGGAACTATAGAAGACTTGAAAGCAACCACGATTGGAGACCAATGAAGAAGGACCAACCTCCAGCGTCATGTACTCATAGTACAAACTCATGAATCTTGTTTGAGAATTTCGGTCGAGCAGCTTCTCAAAGTGTTCTATTACCAAAGGATCCATTACTTCAAAACGGATGAGAAATGTTTTTAACTTTCTTGCTCAAGAGCAGAAAACTACATTGCCTGAATGACTCCCTACAACTTCTCCTCAAACACCATTTTGATGCATTCAACGGTTTTAGAACTAAGTATTCCCAGATTAAGTTTGTTTGAATGGTCCAAATGGTCGCTTGGCATTAGGAAAATAAAGTGAATTTTCCACAGCTCAGTATCGGCTCGGAACTCTACCCTATCCCCTTATACGACTTCCCGCATTTGATCCATCCCGACAGGTGTAGCAACCGGCATCTCACCCAGTGATACACCGACCGAGTTTCTTTCACGCACACACCGCCACTTCGCACCGCAACCATATAGGAGATCATTCACTCGAATCCGGAAAAACCCAACGTGACTGAATTATGTGGATCACGAGTACGAAAAACCGTACCACTACAGCAAAATAGCAGCAGCGATCATTCCCTTGTTCCCACCGAGATTACCTATGAGTTGGGTTACACATCAGCGCGAAAAATGCTGGTCCCACTCAGCTTCCCCACGATTCACACAACACTAGCGAAAAACCCGACGACGATCGACACCGAACATGTGTGTGCAGGCAGCAGTTTTTCCACCAGTCGAAAAGTGAAAAACAGCTTTCCCAACTCGGGCTCCACTTGCCTGGCCAACTGCAGTCATCTTCCGTTCGCTCGACCGTAAATAAGCCAATTGCAGATCCCACTCTCTTTTCTGTCAATAGCAAGCAAATCATCCCGGTGGAAAAAAATTGTGAAACACAAAATTATAAAGCAAGACCATTCTGTTGTAAAACGAAGAGACTGCGAGTTTTGACGAAAGGAATGAGTATTTTTTTTTAATTATTTTTTTTTGGAAACGAGAACTGTGCAGTGTAGTGTAACTTCAAAAGGGAACATCATAGTAGTGTGCACAGCAGCGCATATTAAAAGGACTCTTCGGTACATCGTCAGGCATCGAGACGAGAAGCAGATAGGAAGTGAGTGCCTGCCATAACAAGAAGTGAACGCTCGCCAACGGCTTCAATTAAGGAAAGGCGAACAAAACCGGCAGCAGAAAAAAAAATCTCGAAAATTACTGGCTGCTGCTTCTACTTTTTGTTCACCGTTCCAGAATAGTTAAAAACGTGAAAATTACTCAACTGAGAAAAATTCCCATTTTACAGTTTGAAGCAGTGAAAGATCAGGGAAAACCAAATTGCCGGTGCGCTCCGTGAGCGAAACTACTTAGAAAAAGTATTGCGGAACAAAGTTTTCCCGTGTTCGGTAATTTGTACAAGTGCGGAATTATTCAGAGGCAGAAAGTGGAAAACTAGTGATTCACCGTCGAGCTAGTCGAAAGCGAAACGAACTAATACTGAGAGCTTCACACAAAGGAAGAAAGTACGTAAATCGATTTGGGATAAATATAATGCTGCGTGTACAGTTCCACCCTCGGTAATCCGACGGAATCTAGATCGGACTATCCAGCGGTATCTTTTTCAGCCATAAACAAGCCATTGAGTTGTCAAGGAAAGCCTCGTTGCTGCTACTCGCGATGCGTTTGATCCATGGGTATCACTTTAAGGGGAAGTTTACCGCTTCGAAAATATATAAAAATTATCAAAAATACAAAAAAATCAGATTTCTCCTGAGAAATTTTACGGGATAGGAATGTTTTCTATAGCATCATGAAAAAATGAGACCCTCAGCAAAACCGAAAGGTCGATGTTTTGTGGTTTTTCGAGTCCAACTTTATGCCACAATGGCCTACAAAAAAATTTGCTCGTGAATTTTCTTTAAAATATTTATTTTTATTTTTTAGATTTTAGATCTTTTTCCAATGTTTATAGAAAAATCCAAACGTGATATTTTTTCGGAGCGGTGAGCTTCTCCTTGAACTGACGTGTGCGTTTTTTTTTATCTAGCTTTGTCAGTCTATCGAAAGCAGTGTTGCCAGATATACCGATTTATCGGTATTTATACCGATTTCTAAACTTGATACCGATAAGCTTTCTCTGAATACCGATTTTGGATATGATTTATACCGATTCATACCGATTTTTATAAATAATCAAAATGATTCTTGTCTGCCCGCTGAACTGTCAGATGAAACTATTGTGAAATACTTTTATCTTTTTGATTATCTAAAATTGAAACTATTTCGACTAATGTTTCCATTTCCTTGCCGTTTTTGGCTAACCAGCAGTCGAGAAACAACTGATGGCTCATCCTGGTAATTCCTGGGAATCAGGAAATACCTTTATTCCGTGAACTCCATGTTAATTTTATAACTTCCTGAAGTTTATTTATTCTTCCCTTTGAAGTTTATTCCAAATTTCCTGAAATTTTCATCCACGTTACCCTGTAGGTTATGTTTTGTTTTCTGCTTCCCGAAACTTCAGGGATGCTTTCAGAGTTTTCTTGCTTTTCTATTAGCTTCAACAAAACTGAAGGAACTTTTAAGAAGTTCTGCATCTTCAGAAAACTCCAGATTGTTGGGTAAGTGTAAAGATATGTGAGGGTCAGTTCCGATAAATTATAGACAGGTCATTAACTTTTGTTAAAAGTCCAGAGAAATTCAAAGAACTTAAAAAACATAAGATATATTTTGAAAAAAAAAAGATGTTCAAGTCCAAAGAGCTTCAGAGATATTTAATGGTATGCAGGACAGTTAATTGAACAGATCAATTAATTTCTATTAAATTACTGAAACCTGAATGGAGCTCCGAGAAACTTAGGGGATGTCCATTAATTTCAGCTAGGTTACAAGAGCTTCACGAACATTTTGGAAACGTAAAGGAAGTAACACGAACATTAGAAAAATGTGAGAATATTTTAAGGGAAGGGCAGTTTCTAGAACTTTTAAGAATGAAAATTAAATCGGGTAGATCAAAGAACTTCAATGTTGATGTTAAATTAAGTTCAATTAAATTGTGAGAGTCAGGGTTCTGCATTTTCGAAACAAAGAAAAGAAAATGATTTCTCCGCAGAATCGCTTCATCTTGAGAAATATAATTTTCGTGTAAGCCATCGTGTTTCTTGTTATCGAGTCACGATGAACATTTCTCCTTTCAAACATGACTAGACTATCACTTGTTTCGTTCGTCAAGTGCTTCAGTTCATTTCATTTGAAGCAAAGACTTGTTTCAGCTCGAAAACTGCTAGATGCCAAAAATCGATATCCGACGCTATGTTGGAATCCAATATGGCGGCCATCAGGATTCAGAAAGTGTCAACTATTTTATTTTATTTTTTATTTTTATTTAATACATCCATCTGACAATAAGTCTTAATGAACCAGAAGCCATAACAAATACTAAATGTATCTGGAGTTAATAATACGTCTCTGGAATTGAGCAGCAAGTTCCCCAAACTTGAACAACTCTTCAACTGTAGAAAACGTGCGAATCATACTCGTAACAGGTTCATGTTGTCCAAAAGAAGAGCGGTGTGAGTCTTGACGCAATAGGAACGTTGAGCGTAGAAATCTGCTTGGCGCACGAAAGTTCAAGTAAGAGAGTAAGTGGGTAGAGTCAATTTCACCACTTAATAACTTCGCGACGAATGTTGCCTGTTGAATTTGTCGCCGTCGTTGTAACGTGTCCATGCTTAGCAAGCGACATCTCTCAGCATACGGAGGTAAGTTTAGTGGATCTCTCCAAGGAAGTTGTCTTAATGCTCGACGAATGAATGTTTTTTGGATACGTTCTATTCTGATGTTCCAGGAAAGTTGGTAGGGAGTCCATCGAGATGCAGTCTCGATAATCGGACGAACGAGTGAACAGTACAGTGCTTTTAAACAGTACGGATCCGAAAAATCTCTTGAGATTCTTGATATAAAACCAAGCTGACGATTAGCCTTAGTGATTACCATTGAACGGTGTAAGTCAAACGTAAGTTTAGGGTCCAGCATTACACCTAGGTCGCTTACTTGTTCTACTCTTTCTAGTACAAATCCATCAATTGAGTAATCGAATACGATTGGCGTTCTTGTGCGATTAAATGTCATGACCACACATTTTGATATACTGACGGAAAGCTTGTTTAAGCGGCACCAATCAACAAATTGGTCTAACATTGCTTGGAGCTGACGGCAATCCTCGACGTTCTTGACAACAATGTATAGTTTGAGATCATCGGCGTATATGAGCACGCAACCACTCGGCAAGAGGAGCGTCACATCGTTGAAGAAGATTGTGAACAGCAATGGTCTTAAATTGCTGCCCTGGGGAACACCGGAGGTTGCAGCAAATGGTGATGAAGTGCACGAACCCAGCTTGACACGAAGTGTTCTGTTGGAAAGATATGATTTCAGCCAATCAACCAAACCATCCGAAATTCCCAGGCGAGACATTTTCCGAAGAAGAATACCATGATCGATGCAATCGAATGCCGCTTTCAGATCGGTATAAACGGTATCTACTTGAGCCCTATTTTCCAAGTGATTTATACATGTTGAGGTGAACTCCAGCAAATTTGATGTAACTGAGCGTCCTGGCATAAATCCGTGTTGCGTTGCTGAAATGTAGCTCATGACATGAAAGAAGATAGCATCGTTCACAATGATCTCGAATAATTTTGAAGCTGCAGATAGACTTTTTATGCCACGATAATTTGTCACGTCACGTTTGTCGCCCTTCTTATGGACAGGGAACATAAAGGAATGTCTCCATATTTCGGGGAAAACTCCTTGGTGCAACGAAGCGGTAAAGATGCGAGCTAGGGGATCAGCTAAAACAGCAACACAGCGGCAAAAAATGATTGCAGGTACACCATCAGGACCCGGTGAAACAGATTTCTTCAACTTCCTAACAGCTTTAACGACATACATATTGCTAACCACAAATGTACGCAAATCGATGAGACCCTCAGGAACATTGCAAGCCGCTCTTTCTACTTCATCTGCGTTGGCTGCTGAATCCGAAAAAACAGAACTGAAGTGGCGGGAAAATAGATCACACGATTCGAGCATAGAAGTAGACTCCAAATCGCCAAAAAATACGGATGAAGGAATATTCGACGATTTTCGCTTGGAGTTCACAAACTTCCAGAAGCTCTTGGGATTTCTACGTAAATTGGTCTGGACACGCAAGACATATGACTTGTATAGGGTTGAATTAAGCTTACGATAGGCGTTGCAAGCGCGATGAAAGTTGCGTTTCGTTTCAGAAGTTCGATGTCGACGAAGTTTACGCTGCCAGGAATTTTTATCGCGTTTCAAAAGCCGCAGGAGAGGAGAACTCCAAGCAGGAGATATAGGAGGTTTTCGTCTTGGAGTGTTATCGGTGAGCCAATTGCAAATTATGTTGCAAAATTGTGCTGCCATATCGTTGACGTCATTTGTTGCCAGAATACTGCTCCAATCACAGCTCATCAGGAACTCGTTGAGCATGACGAAGTCGATTTTTGAGTAGTCGAGCGTATGTTCACCAGCATCAAGGGATTCCACACGGTCAACACAATCGGATTGAGTTGGTAAGGAGAATAAAATCGGTGGATGATGCAAATCAATAGCCAGCAATGGGGACACCGCTTCGTTAACTACAATGTTGCAATCGGAATCACAGAAAACCAAATCTAGGATGCGCCCCAGGTGATTGCGAATAGAGTTGTATTGCCGGATATTCAGGAAGCTCGTTCCATCCATCAGAGCAGCACTGGCAGCAGACGTCGTGGAAGGATCAAGGTTTAAGATTCCATCATCAAGACAATCCCATGCTATGTGTGGTTGATTGTAGTCACCACAAGCAAGCAAAAGGTCACCATCTGGAGTTGCATCACGTAATTCACGAAGAGTAGCTAAATGGGCATCGATAACACCTACGTCCCGACTACGATCTGGAGGAATATATACAGCGCAAAGCACGAACCGCTTTCCGCGAATACAGGCAGACACACTTACTTGTTCCAGGTTACTACCATTAATAGTCTTTATCTCAACAGACTTGTAAACGCTGGCCACGGCAATAAGCACTCCTCCAAACTTCGCTTTCTTACTATTACGAGCACTGCGATCGCAGCGAAATACATTAAAGTCAGTACCAAAAAGTTGCAGTGAGTTGATGCTGTCGTCAAGGCCCGTTTCTATCAATATGATGACATCGTAATTGCAATCACATACCGCTACAACCAGGTCGTCAATTTTGGTTCTTAGACCACGTACGTTTTGGAAGTAAAGTCAAACATCGTTGTCACCAGCAATTCCACAACTGTTGTCACGAGATGCCGGCGTGTAGGAATTTTCGGCGCGTCCCGACATAGGTAGGGGACGTTCAAGGCGTTGTCCATGTTGGCTGGAGGTACTCCCGGCAGAACAAGTTGGTGATCTGAGGAGGGAATCATCGTCAGGCAGGAAATTATAAAAATTATGTTGATACTTGCCTAGACAAGCAAGCTGGAAG